TAGAGAAGGGAATTACAATAACAATGACACATTTAACATTTGTAGTAGAGAGAAAGAGGAAGCAACTTGTAATAGTAATAAAAGATAGAAGATAAGTGAGAGAAAAAGTGTAAAAAGATTAAGAAATTTAAAAAATTATATGCTTTAACGATAGATTTCAAATTCACTCTTACCAGTTAAGAAAAATATCTTTTCAAAATGCTTCGAATTTTAAAAGTCCATCTGCTTACTATCTTCACATAACATTTGATGCAAAATCATTTTAAATCATTTTAAAAAACTATATATATTATCTCCTTCAAATTCATAATCAACACATGCTTGAGGTATACTTTTGTGATTTGAAACCTTCACTCTATTTTAGTTTCATATGCTTCAATCCAATGGTTTATTGTCTTTGGTTCAGGTTTTAAATTTCCTCTTAAATATAAAGTTGTTAGTTGTATTATTATTTTTATTTGACTGCTTTTAAATACTATGTCATGCATTGTTAATATGATATATTATATAATTATCAGCTCAAACACACTATTTATATCAATAATTTGATTTTTGTTAAGTTATAATTATATAAATAGGGACAAGTTTAATAAATAATAAATCTTGAACTTTAGATGAATAGATATACCAATCTTTATATATAATTTGTTAGTACTAATTCTTGAATTTGAGTATTTTTAAATTATCTTTCCTCCCTCTTCTTCTTCTTTCCTCACCTCCTACTCCTTTGATTTCAATGTTGCCTTCACCAGTGCACCTTACTCCAACAACCTTATCTTTGCCATCTATGTCATTCAGTTTGACGTTTCCACAAAGAAAAATTGTTGGGGGATTTATTTTATTTTTTTTGTATTTGACGTTGCCTACTTATCCAATATAGTTCTAGGATTAGATTGATACTTTGTTTTAAAAGGGGCTTATAGGCCAATTAACTTAGTTATCTATGAAGACAAAAAAAAAAAAAAAAAAATAGAACGAATAAAAAAGACAAAGATGAAAAGGACGAAAAAGAAAAAGTTGAATAGAGATAGGTGAAGGAGAAAAGAGATGCAACATATATAAGAAAGAAGATAATTAATACACATGAAAAATAAAACAAAAAAAGAAAAAGAGTTAACTTTAAAAAAAACTTATTTAAAATATTTTTTAAAAGTTTTGAAACTTTTAAAAGTTAAAGATCAAAGTGAAAAAAAGAATGTTACAGTCAAAAGACTTAAATTATAAATTATCTTTTATTTTTAATTTAATATTATTTAAATTTTAAACTTTTTTTATTTTATTTAATATAATATAATATTTATCATTAAAAACTGTAAATTTACACTTTAAAATTTATTACATTTAAAATTTCATCCAATATTTTAATTATTTATTGAAAAATTATTTAAATTTAATGATACCTGTCAACAACAAAAAAAAACTAGTAATATATAAAACACTTGTCACAAGAATTATTCATTCAAATTCTATAAAAAAAAAATGTCAACTTAGATAGTATTTAGCAATTATAAATGCATCCCAATGGAAAGAAAATTTCATGTGAAATTCTTTGTATCATTCTCCATTTTCTTTCACAAAATAAGATAAAAGCCCCATAAACCTCTACGCATCACCATCAACACTAATGTATTAGGAACCCTTCATTGACCATGGAAAACCACTCTTGGAGTTGATCATCCTCCATGAGCATTAAATTGTTTTAAATTGTAAAATTGATTTGAAAACACTCATAATAACTGATTAAATAAAATTTAAAAGACATGCAACACATGAGAACATATACAATACCTAGTAAACAAATTTGGAAGCTCAGGTTATAATAAAACAAAAATTCAATGAGAGCAACAACTAATGATCTTTCTTTAAAAATTTGATTCTTCTAAATGACTCCAACAAACTTTAAACTCTAGCCTCTAAACAAAGAATAAAAAGTTTTTGTTAACAAATTTGAAGACAAGTAAAATTTAATTTCGACACACAATCTAATATTTGATTAGATGAAGAGAAGAGACAAAATTTTCTTTTAAAGATGATTAAGGATTTAAGATAAATAATTTTGAGGATTAATTGGGATTATAGTCTACAATGAATGACTTGCATTTTGAGAATAAGGAATGCATTTATATTTTTGAGAAAGTGGAATAATTTTTTTTCACAATTAGTAGAAGAGAATTAAAAAAAATTTAAAGAATTTTTTGAAGCAATATTAATCCATAAATAAATGGAAAAATTTTCTCACCCTCTTATGTGGGAATAATTTTTTTTTCTATGGTAATTGAGTGTGAAGTTACTAAACTTCATAATTATTAATTTTATTATCAAGAAAGAAATTTAAAAATAAGAAATTTCTTATATCAAACATCACTTTACAGTAAAGTTACTTGTGTTTATTATGATTTTAAATTGTGAATATACGTTATAATAATCTCTGAATTATAGTTTAACACCGATTAAGAAATTTGAGCTAAACTTACTTTCAAAAGCTAACTCATAGGAAGAGATTATTATAACAAAAGTTGTAAGACTAGACATCTATATTAGTGGACCTAACAAAACAAGATATCTGTGACCAGTGCAACGTCCAAACTAAATAGACTCTAATATTATGTTAAGAAATTTAGACATAATTTATTCTCAAAAGTTAGCTCATAGGCTTATAAAGAGTATTCTAACTCTATTCCTAATCAATGTATAACATCTTAATAATACTTGAACCCATTTATTTGAAGATTGAAACTGAATTTATAGTACTTTTCATGAATAAAACTTTATTAAAAATTAATTTACACGAAAGGAAAGAAAAATTGAAGTAGCAAACTCTATTCTTAACCAAGATACAAACAAGGACTTATACGGCTTGCAATGATCACGACTTGATAAAATTAATGTATCAGTAAATCACAATTGTTTCAGGTGATATATAGTTTGCAATTTGAAAAACTTTGTAACATTATCGTATGAATACATTATTCGGTAATCATACATAGATTGAAATTAATAAGATATCTACTGAAACTTTTACAGATTAAAATAAAAAGGAATAAAAAGAATCATTGAATCTTTGAATAAAAAGAATTATAGACGTATAAAATGAAAAGAATCAACGAGTATTAATTTTTCTGTTAAACAAAATTATTCTTTATTTGAAAATTTATGCAGTTTATATATTAATTTAACGTTTATTTGTATCTTTTAAATTTTAAATTATTAATTATTTTCAGTTTCTTTTATATTGAGGCTTTTTTTTCATTTTCTAAGATTTTACTTTTAACACTTTTATTATTTTATATTACAATTTCATTTTTATATTAAAATTAATCTATTTATACTTTAAAATTATTTGTTATGAATTTATTATATTCCTTAATTATGTTATTCATATTTTATTTATATTAATTATAATTTTAAATATTGTTCTTTTAATGTGAGTTAAGGTTAAATGACACAGGTAATAACCTATTATCAAAAATAAATTTAATCAATATAACTCTTCATATATATATATATATAATAAAAAATCAGGAAAAAAATTTAATATATTATTCAAAATTAATTAGTAATACTTGTTTTGAATTCATACTTGTTATGAAAAATAATTTGATTTTAAAATCATAAAACCATATAAATTAAAATAATTTAAAATGGAAATTTTTAAAAATAATTGAATTTTTTAAAGACAAAAATTAATTGAATTTGAACAATTTCAGAACATAAATTTAAAATTCAATTCAATTTAAACCAAAATATGAATTTTCCATAGTTACTCTTTATAAAAATTAAACCTTTTTAACTGTTCTGCAATTAATATGATAATACATTTTGACTTTATATAGAAATAAATATTAAATGTTATACTTAATTTTCTTAAAATTTAATACATTAATTAATTTAAATATTATTTTTATTATATGAAATTTAATTAAAAAAAGGTTTATAAATAGAACTAAAAATAGTGTTTAATTAGTCGAAAATGTACTACCATACATTGAACCCAAACAAAATATTTGAGGTTCTCCCAGTTCAGAGTTTGTGTCAACTTAGTGCGAAGATGGAATAAAGGTAATAAGGAGCTGACTTTGGCACTAATCATTTTTTAATTACATTATTTATATTAAGTGTTTTGAGTCGTAATAGTTACGAATTTCTATATTCGAATTGTAAATTATATTACCCATTTTACAATTTTTATTATTTGTTTTATAAAGCTAAAGGCACTGTTTTCCTTTTTAAGAATGTCATGAAGTGATTTTGATTATTAAAAATATTGTTTTTCCAATGAACTCATTCATAGACAAAAATAAAGCGCATAACAAAGCGTTAACATTAGCAATGAAAAAAAATCATTAGCTTATAGAAAGGAATTTTATTTTTAGATATGTTTAGTAAAATTTAAAAATAGTTTTGAGATAATTCATTCTGTTTTCAACTGTCTAAAAAATCACTTTTTAATTATAAAAATTTATTTGAAAGTAGTTGATTTTGTGTTTAAAATAATCAATTGTTGGGAATTAAAATTTTGTTAGAAAATAATGCCATAGTTTTTAATCATTAACTCAATTTGTATTATAAAATTATAAAATGTTATTTGATAATCTTACCAAACATTATATCTTTAAAAAAATATAATTTTATTCTTAAACAAACTTTTTTCTCCTTAAAAATACATCTAAACATGCATTATAGAGAGTAATGTATAATTGGACAAAATACCAAAAACAAAAGGTATATTATATAATGCATCAATCAAGTCGAGAGCTAGTTTATTAGTTTAATCATATAAAATGTTATCACGGTCACATTTGTTACATTACATGGCCCCGGAGAAATCAGAAAAATGAACATTCTAATTATATATATATATATATATATATATATATATATAAATTCTTCAGATGCAGCTTTGAAAATGTTCTACAATTTTATGTGTTCTCCTTTTCTTTGCCTGTTCAATATTCCATGTTAATACTCTGTTTCTGAATAATATTTACTTTCTTGTATGGTTAGGAAGTACGCATAGGTGAGACGTACTCCACAACTTGTAGATCCATCATTCCATTGTTGTGAATTTCTTCAACTTGGTCGTCCACTTCAGATACTGAACTCGACTTCTCAAACTCAATTTTACATTTAACAGAGTAAACACTAAGTGGTCTTGTAGGTGTCTCTGCAATGTGAAACATTAACCTTGTTATTCATCTAGTTAGTAAACTTCTAACCTACATTGTTTGCTAAAAAGAGAATAATATAATTTTACAAATTTTCAAACCTGTTATAACCGGATCCTGATATGGAATCCTTGTCAACAGCTTCTGGCACATAACGGTTCCCTGAAAATCTAGGAAAGAATAGTCCACATATTGTGATCTCTCAAAAATCGTCATCTTCTCAAAGCCAAAAGAATTGGTCCAGGTTTCTAGCACGCCAGGAACAGCAGGCAAGACTAGCCTCTCCACTCCCAGATGCATGAGCTTCTGCTAATAGGAAAATTCGAATGAGAAAGTGATACTAAACTAGAGACAATAAATGGAACACTTAATTTGTGAAAAAGTAGAGCAGAGACTATATCCTAACAAAATTTTTATAGTGATTTTCATTACACAGGATCATTCATTTCCAAATGTGCATAAATACATTTGCATGCTTTTTATGTTACCTTCTCAAGCTCATCCATTAAAATGCGACACATTCCAAGTCGACGATACTGTAATCTGGTACCCACAAGAGGTACCTCTGCTACTTTTTGTCCAAATACCCTATAAATGAAATGCCAAGTCAGAAGGGTATGAAATGACGAGCAATGGAAACAATAAAACTGAAACTGCAACTCAAATGGGAAGCACAATCACTTTTCATGAAAAACCTACTGCTTGTTATTTAATAGTAGAATTTCCATATTCACCTTATAGTTGCTACACTGATCAATTCTTCATTTCTCTCCAGAAGTACGGAGTAGAAACCCTGGAAATTCAATCGTTTAAGCTCTGACCTACAAAGTTACAAAGATATCAGGCTTTAGCCTAGAGGATATAGCAAATCATCAGCATAGACAATATACACTTTTGAACAAATCCAATAGTAAATGGTATTACTACCATGTTTAAATGAAATAGCCAAGATCGTAACATAATATTCAAAGAGAACCAAAATCCTTGTTTTAGTCTTCAAACACTAGCTCACTATTCAGGATACCATCCATGGACATAGATTTTCCACAATAACCAGGAAATATGCATAGGAATATAAGGAAACTATTCTAGTGAACTATTCATTTAAATTATGTAGACAATTTAGTTGCAAATTATGGTCCATACAGAAATATGCATAGAAATATATGGAAACTATTCTAGTGATCTATTCACATAATAATTTTCAGCAATTCCATCCTGCATGATAAATCTAGATCCTCAAATATTTCATTAACTATATACACATGAGCTTCTAAATTCTAATATATCTATCTAATGCATATAAAAGTTTTTTCTTGCAAGATATTTCTTTTATCAGAGAATCTACAATACATCATTTAGGCTATATGTGGACTGTATACATCAGTTGGGGAAGGGAGCATGAGAACATAGAATTGATTACTCTTAGTTATGTGACCTGATTATAACTGTAGTGTAATGGATAAGTGTAAATTTTATAAACCAATCTTGTCAATTTAAAATATTATGAACATATCATTTTACAAAAGCTAAGAAGCCACAGCTATTTATTCTTGAAATATGTGGTCAGCTAACATAGAAATATGATCAAAGGGGTTCAAGCCAAAGACAAACACCATATGAAAATAATTCTATTAAAATATTATGAACATGAATTGAAGGATAAGAATTTTTTACCTATTATTAAATATGACGTCATCAATGATATCTCTGCCGGAGAAAGGATTCTCTAGGGGCTCAAAACATTCATGCATCACCGAAAGTGCAACATTGAGTTTGCTGTAAGTCTCTGCCAATAAGTCGTTCTTGGTACTATCAACATCACAGCTCCCAGAGTTGATACACTTCATTAATGTCCAAGTTAGATTATTCCCACCCACTGTGATTGGCTTTCCTATTAGATTTTGGAGGCCTTCATATATCTGCAAAAAAATACACAAGGAAATGTTTCTAGCACTAAAGAATGAACACACAGCCTTAAATGTTTAATTAGTATTAAACTTAAGTGTATTCTGTTTGTCATGTCTTAACACTCATTCATCACCAAAATCTTGCACTGTTGACTGGCTAATTTGCTATTAAATGAAAACCATAAATTGGAGGATGGAAGATCTAAATAAAGAGATCATTCCTGGACTAGAAAGCATTAAATCTATAAAACCTCATGTTGAATAGTTAACCAGAATCACATGCAAGGAAGTAATTGACAAATTTAACTTAGTTTTGATAAAAAAAAGGATTGGTAACGTGATACATCCAAGGATGTAAAATCAGAATAAATAAAAGTAAAGAAAAGGAAAGAGAAAACAACTAGAAGGTGGATAATGCAGATTTACTAATTATAGAAGAAAGGAAAAAGGGAGGTGGATTTCATGTACCTGTTCACATTCTTTTCCGCAAAACCAATTTTTCATATATTTTCTTGATTCATCTTTTCCTCTATCTTCAAGACATCCATCGTGATCTACATTGGGTTGAAAATAAGACAGCATACACATTACGATATTGATCAACATGTGCAGTCATCCAAAAACCAAATCAGCTTACATTTACGTTCACATTGAACACAAGTAAGAAAAAGTCCATGCTCTGTCCCTTCCATTTTGATTTGGCTGCAAATCCCACAACGACATGATGGACAAAACCAGTCACCATCAGGGATATCCTACATGCAGAGGGAAACCAGCCAAAGGAAAGAACTCAGATGAAAGACCAGTTATTAAAAAATGAAAGTACTGAATGGGAATAATCACAACTGAAAAAAAAATGGAAATAGATCAAGAAAATAGTACTTAACATGGCATGATTGAAAAGGAAAACAGTTTACATACCGCCATACCAAGACACTCCTTATGAAATGAGGATGGACATTGGTCACATAAAATAAGTTCACCACCATATTGACAAACAGAACAAACATTGTCATTTTCGCCATCACAATGATCATTGCATGCTTTCTCCATAGTTTCCCTTGTTCTGCAGTCATGCATTACTTGTATCATGCAATCTAAGAGTGACCTACCATCCCTCAAAAAGATACTAGCAGAAGGCCTGCAGTCACTGCTGCCACTAGCATGATGTACAAAGCCACCAAGACCATATATTTTCTTACAACAGCTACACTTGATTCCTTCACGGGTTATCCTCCCCTCAGCCACAAAATCAGGGTTCCTACCACCACCTGCCCGGCAATAGACCTTACATCTTGGCAACACCATGTTGCTATCTATTAACCAAGACAAGACATTTTGAGGTCTTTGGTGTATCAGACTAGGAGCAGACACCTTCTGCACCCTCTTGCTTGATCGCAGCACTCGTGTAGGTGATCCTTTCCTGTGGTGCTTTGGCATGCTTGCCTTTGAATTCCTGGTGCGTTTGTGGTTTCTATTCTCAGTTGATCCACTTGCCAGTGAACCACTGACTGTCTGCAATTCAGGCTCTATTTGAAGTAATTGCGACAAACTCTGCAATAGATATTCATTATCAACATGACCAACAATTTCCTCATTCATGGTTGGGACATTCAAAGTTGTCAAGCCAGAAGTAGTCCATTCAGGAATTTTTTCTTTAATGTATAGTCTACATGCACCTCGAAGTGAGCCCAAACACTGATTTTGTGGAGACCTGTACAAAGTTCTCCTCCTTTTCTCAGTTGGGTAGTCAAGTACCCATCCTTCTGCTAATAGATGCCTCTGTGCTTTTATTTTCCATTTTCCTTTTTCACCCCTATGGTTATCTGATTCATTCAAGTAGTATTTCACAACAGCGTGAGGACAGAATTCAGGTTCATCTACAACTTTACTAGGAGAAGGTGCCCCATTTGGAGGACAAACATCTAGATCGTGGTCATTTTGGGGTTGATCTGAAAGCAGATGTGAAATATTATTGTCATTCGTATAATGCATTCTATTGTAATCAATTTGGGGCAGCACAGAGTTCATGTTGGACTCCTTTTGCATATCCGTCAAAACCTGAACAAGTGAAGTATAAATCTTCTGATCCTGTGTATCAGGTGACTTGTACCTAAATCGTTTTCTTCCAGGAAAATATTTATCGTCAGTCCACTCAATCTTCCATCCAACATACGCTAGATGTTTCCGTACTCTTGTCTTCAAAAGATCTCTAATGGTCTTGCTTCCACATCCAAGTAAATATTCGTTAATAATTTCAGGACAGAATTCAACCTCAGTCATTATCAGAGGATGCCAACATAAGGATGTTGGGTCCCTACGTTTTCTCTTCTTTCCACAAGAGCTAGCACCTGGAATCACTTTACCAGCATCGGGCAAGACCTCTTGATTTGAAGATACAGGTTCTTCCTGCAACAGAATTTCCTTCTCAGATGTCTCATCCACCAAAGTATTTTTATCATATTCCTCTTGAATAGGAATAATGCTATTACATTTTTTATCACTATCCAACAAGTTTGAGGAGTCACCATTTTCCATAGGGCAATCAGATACTCCAATGTCAGAACCAAATACATTATCCTTACTAGCATCACAATGAACATTGTCAGTAGGTTCAACTGACTCCAGTTGTGGTGGTTCTTTGAAGAAATCCTTTGGAAGATTTAAGGCTGGGAAAATTTGTTCTAGTGTGAGAGTATAGTAGTCACCAATTACCTCCATTACAGGCTCTCTCCACAAGTCCTGCACCTTACAAGTCCAGTCCCTTATGTTGTCGAAATCCTTTCTTTCCCTTATATCATACCATATCTGCTTCACTGAAACTGGAATATAGGATGTCCTCTCACACTCCTCAATCAATTGAAGAAACACCCACTTCCCTCTTGGCTCCCATTCCTCGGAAGCTTCATCCCAATCCTGAGTTATCCGTAGTTGGTCAGTTCCAACCTTTATTTCATCACCCAAATCCGGGAAGAACACACTCCTCTCCTTCATTCCATTAGAATGATCAAATATAACACCTTCCCACCATGCATCTTGATAATTCACATCAACACAAAGAGCAAATGGAAGGTCATTTTCCCCAAACTCAAATGGAGGAGGCACTGGTCTAATGAAGCCACGTCTATTGCAACAATCTGAAGAACTGTTAACATCATCCAAAACAGATGAAACAATCACCACATCAACAAGATAATATAAACCCTTATCATCCAAAATGTTGTCATATCTAACATGACGTTTCTTCCTCCCACAACGGATCACGGTCCCCGGGTGCCATGAACCCAGAAAACCCTCTTCCACACTCTTCACCTACAAAAATTAACGAACAAAAATTAAATTTTGTAACTGGAAATTACAGATAAATAGATCACCGCATTCATGTTTTTCACGAAGTAGTAATTGAAAAAACACAAGTAATGACAAGGGAAATCTTAGGACTTGCAATTAACATTGACTCCACATGTGTTACCATAATCAATGCCACCCACATTTCAATTTTCAACATATGCATGAATGGCTCGTGAGAATACGAAGCAAACCGTGAATGAGAATTCAATCCAGAAACCAACAATCGGAGAGGCTGAAACCGTGAAAAACTAATCAAAAACAAAATTAACGACAGAACATCAAAGGATCACAAACAGAAAAACAAACACAACCAAAAAAGCCATGAAACCTCAAAAGCTAGATTACTAACACGACAGGAATAAAACAATAGGGTAATCCATTAGAAAAAAACAACCCAGAAATTCATAAACCAAAAAGATGACACCTTCATAAAAACACAAGAAAGGAATTACATAGCCTTACCTCGACTCTCTCATCGACAAGAAGTTTTCTTTTCTTTGACCCTCTTTTACGTTTTCCATTCCCATGACACTTCACATCCTCAATATCCATTAAAGACTGATTGAAAGCCATGAAAACTGAGAATGCGCATACACCCTTTTGGCAAGAAGGCAAAAAGATAATTCAAAAACACGAAAACGAATGAAACGACAATAATCAACTACGTTAAACGAACAAACGAAATCCTCGTTCTGTTGTATCTGTTCATACTTTACGAGAAAGAGGAGATAACACACTCACTTCAGTTTTTCCTCAGTGTTGTGTGGAGTTTGATTTTCACTTTCGCATAAGCCGGTTTAAACAAACGGAATTCCCTGTTTTCTCCTCACGCTACGAGCTTCGTTCGTATTGGTCCACGTTGGCATGTCATGCATGTTGTCGCACGTGGCATGCTGGCACGATTTTCTAAGCGTGATCTTTCCCTTACCCTATTCCTCACTCTAAACAGCTCCTTTTATTGGAAGACGAGGAGTTAGAAAAGTGCGTGGTCTAATGCGGGAAAGTGCACCGTGTGGGCGCCCCCACCCTATTTTGGAGGCCACGTGGCATGCATGAGGAGTCACATCCAAGTATGAACGGACCCCACTATTCATTCTAAATGTACTTGAACCCAAAGAAAAGGATTTTAACTTTTTGACAATAAGAAACGGATTCTAATTTGTTGTATTATAATTTAATATAATCGAATTGATGAAACAGCATTAAATTGTAAAAAATAAAGGGGTTGGAAAATGGTTAAATTGTTCACAACGTCGAGTATTTTAGCATATTTTGTCGTGATATTATGCAAGAGGGAAAAAATAAGAAGAAAGAAACACTAAAATAGGATATATTTATTTGTAGATATACTTTTCTTTACGTGTATATTTAATTATAAATGCTATTTAATGGTAGATGATTAAAAATTATTAGTTTAACAAATTTAAAAATTTATTATTGTCCATAAACAAATATAATAAGTTATTGTAATATTCTTTTAACCAAAATCTGTTATTGAAGTATAACTTTTCCTATCAGATTTTTATACGACAATTTTTTTGCTTATATTTCATCTTTGTCTTTTTTTTCCATGTATTTAATATTTACTAAAAAGGAAATAACATATTCTTTAAATATGGTCTATCATGACCGCGGCCAAAAATTAAATATGATCTATAATGGACAAGGACGTTATATTACACATACTTTTAATAGTAATTTCTATTTTGACTAATAGTAATTGATTTTCCTTTTTATTTTATAATTTCTCTCAAGTGTAATTCCTTTTTGAATTACTAATATTATATAATTTAGTCATAACAATGATAGGTTGGAAAATATTTTAATGTGATTTCATTAAAATATAAATTATTGTAATTATTACCTTTTTGAAGTCAGGCAGTTCTTATTTACTGAAAGAATAGAAGGGACTCCGACGTTTCTTCTCTTTATGTTCTCATGTCATTATACTCTCTTTGATTTCACCAATCCCAGAGTTTTATTGATTTTTTTATTTTGTATTAAATTGAAATTTTATGTATTTCAAAATAACGGAAAGAAAATGAAAATTATATTGTTAATCAATTAAAATAGATAATAAATATAATTTGTAAATTTTTATTATAAGAATATTTTTCATTGATATGATAATCTATAATATTTGATAATGTAATTTTTTTATATTTTTAATATATTCTAATTAAATATGACATTGATTTACCTTTTTTTGAATTGATGCGTTACCCGGGAAAAGAAAAGATTGGTTGCTTCCGTTTCTAATTGGTCTTTGACTGAATATTTTTTTTCTTCTACATAATATTTGTTTAGTACATACACATTTTACATTCTTGTTATAAATCTATGGCATTAAATCTTATATGAAGTGTTTTTTGATCGGTAATTTCTCGTCAAGTTATCAACAGTCAGAATTATTAGTCATTTTTACAGAATAAAATTTATCTTAAAATAAAATTAGTTTATTTTATTATCTTTCCTTTTACATTAAAGATAAAATTTTTAATTTATACAAATTATTAATTTTTTATATATTAAATTTTTTATAATAACTTATTTATAAATTTACTCACATTAAAACTTTATCAATGATTTGCTATTTATTATTATTTTAGATAAGTTTTGTTCTTCGTACTTTTTTAAAATGGTGACAAGATGCATATGTAGTTATTCATAAAGTATGAAGAAGTAAAAGATTTCAGAAATCTCAAAACATGAATTAAATTGTCATTTACTTATTGAGTTGGATGAAAGAATTGGAGAATTTTAAATTTATAGAATATTTAAAAACTGATTTTAATGCTTAGAAATTTAATATTTTAAGAGCTTGACCTAACAATCCTAAATATTTTATGTTTAAATTTTAATAAATTGCTTTTCAAATTGAAAAGATGTAACTTTTGGCTTTTATTTAATCTCATTAAAAAGTTTTGAATGTGATTTTGAAGTTATTTAATCACAAATTCAAGTTTTTAACTTCAAAATGATTTTAAAAAAAAAAAAACGTTATATGATCAAGAATGTATTTGTTATAAATTTAAAATAATTAATTATCATTTAAGAAATAATATTTTATTGCTCAAAATGATTTTTTATTTATTTAATTTTTTTTCAACCAAAACTTATTATTAGACCTCAAATAATTGTTTATCTTTTACATTTTAGATATTAAATTCTTTGGAAAAATACTTAATTAACTAGTATGGAGAAAATAATTTATTATTATTTTAAAAACTAAAAATTAAAAGTTGACCCTTTTAGTCTCATTTTAGTATAAAACAAAAAGAAAATAAAGAGAGAAAAAGAGAAACGGTAACATGACATAATTTTTGCAAAGAGTTAAATTAGAAACTCTTATCTCTCGTTTCTTGAAAAGGTAAGTTAATAATAAGGGTGTGAAGAGACTGAGTTGTCACAATTGTCACAGAACTGAGTTGTCACAAAATCAGTTTAAATTCATTTCAAATTTAAGAATATAGAATAGAATTTAAATTAATTTATTTAATTTTTTAAAATTAGTTTAAAATTAATTTTAAAATTTAGATTTTATTTAAAATTAATTTTAAATTTAATTTTAGTTAAATTATTTTTATCAACACAATTACGAAGGTTTCCTTCATATTCTTTGCACAACCGTAACTCGCTTACTACCTGACTGCCGTATACTATTCTGATTTACTGATTTCTCTTCTATGAATGCACGAGCATTCAAAGGTGGTTTACTTACTTGTTAGAGTAAGGACCAATTGTGACTCCGCATTCATTAGCTATTAAGCCAGTGAATGTGAATTACAGTGAGTAGCAAGCGAACAAAGCGTATAGTTCGCGAGAAGTTAGTCAGCAGGAATAGCGGCCTTTCCGTTGTTAGGTCTAGTCGGCAATTCAGCGATGACATCTTTTTTTCTCTTCCCTAAACTCCTCTCTTAATCCACAAATACATTAGTTGTTAATTTTTTTTCATTTTATTTTTTAAAGAAAATTAACACTCAAAATTAAAGATTTGACTACAAAATGAGAAGAATCTAAGATAACTGAGAAAGGAGTTAATTCAATGTGATAATGATAATAATAATAATAATAATAATATTTATAAATATACTTTGAAAATATACACTAAAATTTTAAAAATATATTTATAATTAATTTTTATATTTATTTTTTATTACACCATCAATTATATTTTTTTTTTCTCTTTGTCATTTTTATATATAAAAAAATGAAGTGTCAACGTATAATTTCTTATAATTATTATTAATTTTTTTAAAAATTTTGTTATCTCATTTTACTGTTGATAAAATCTTTAAATATTTTTTAAAAATATAATATATATTGATAATATTAAATATTATATTTTTAATAAAAATTCTTATTTATTAATTTTTATTATGTATTTTTTAACATAAATTAAAAATTTATTTGTTAATTTATTAAATTTTGTTTTTAAATTAAAAAAATAATACAATAAATTTGTAATATAATATAGTTTTTAAATTTTTTAAACTTTTAATTAAGGTTTGATTTTTTATTAATATTATATATTTTTTTTAACTAGGAAATGACAAAACTCATTGAGTTGCGAAAGATGGAGTCGCTTTGTATCATTAAAAAATGATGCAGAGTTATAATTAAGATGAGAGCGACACAATGACTTAATCTTTATTCACTTTAATAATTGATTGACAAAGAAGAGAAGAAGAATACATATTTTATTTTGTTTTCATAAATAAAATCTAAATTTATCAAATGAGATGCAGTATAAATTTAGATTAAAAAATAAAGTGAGTTTAAATATTCAGTTTTATTAAAAATCTAGATTTTAAAATCAATTTAGTTTTAGGTATCGATTGAAGTTGTAAATTTGAATTATTTGTATAGCCTTAGCTAATAATTTCAGTTTAAACTAGTTTGTTTAGTTTAATTTTTATTTTTTAAAATATTTCAAAATAAATAAAATGCATAACTGATATTTATATATAGAATTTTTGGTATGAATATTTATCTATAGATTACTATAACTTAATTATTTATTATAAATTTTTTATATTATAAAACATGTAACATGATCCTTTTATATTATTTAAAAATGTACTTACTTATTAATTTGTTTATAATTTTATTTTAGTTTATCGTATAATATGTTTATATAACATTAAAAAATTGTTACCACCAATTCTATAGTGCTACTATATTATTGTTAGGTAATATGCACAGTACATAAAGCCTTTTAGATTTGGGATTTAGTATTATTTAGTTAAACATAAGGACTTGAGGCTATGTGAATGCGTTTTATGTCATTCTTTTGTGGTAAGATAATGGCTGAAGGATAGTTAAATCCATTTCAATTTATTGTACTCTATTTATCTTAAATGCTTAATTTATTTTCATCTTTCTCTGTAACTAATTTTAGATAAAATTAACTTACAATTATAATAATATATAGGTAAAAAATACATAATTGGTTCACATGTATTCGGAGGTCATTGTATGATAAAAGACTTCACCAAAAACTAGTTACAGCTCCCTAACCCATAAATAAGAAGATTCATTTAAGTTTTTAG